CGCAATTTTCTGTAAAATGAATATAGCATTTTAAAATATTAGCACAGCATCTCAAAAAACGTTAATCACAGTTATGCCATCATCGAGAATTAATGTGAACAGGCAACGTTTTTAAGTAGAGTAGATTTTACCAGTGTAATTCAGATCAACGGAGATAGAGATGCTCGTCAGAAAACTAGCATGATCTCATAAACGTGTTAGCTTGCGGTTATTCTCCTGATCGGTCAGTAAACCGGCCTTATTTAAGCAAGGATTCAACGGATTGTTTACAAGCTCCTGAACCCATTGCAGACGGAAGTTGCACCCAGAACTCTACCGTTCATGTGCCGACTGTGTCCACCGTGTGCTTCTTGGCAGGGTGGGCTCAAGGGGTGGTTGACAGAGCTGCAATGTTCGATTTTGGACTTCTTCGTGTATGGTGCTAGTGAGGAAAAATGTGATGATATAGTATGACCGGCGGTGTTCTACTGCAGGTTTTCGTGGAGGCGCATGTGGCTGAATAGACCTCTACGACGAGTGAATGTTCGTGGGCAGGTGTACGCCGGTGCTTCTTGCACCGGTTCAACAGGCTCTGTGTGATGGATTCCCAAGTGACCGACCAGGCCAATGCGTAATGTACATGCGCGATAGTAAGGTGGACAAGATAGGTTGGGAACTGCAGAGCCGGTTGCGGTGGTGATGCTTGTTAGGAGTCAGCCTAACAGACTTGCTCCCACGCCATAGCACCCGTCTGCTCATACATTACATGTGATGACGCACATTGATGCGGCCAGGATTAGGATTCTAATACGCAGCCGGATGAGCCACAAAGCCAATCGAGTCGCCACTCGCTTGAGGACACAATCTGATTGGTTTGATCTTGTAACGCATTGTGTGCCTCAAGTATGCTGTACTACGTACGCTAATAGACTGCCACTTATGCGCCCTTGTTGTATTCTCCCTTGGGGAGCGAACATGGTGCAATTAGACGGGACACCTCAGCGACAGATTTTCTCCTAAAAATCCCACAAATGACATTCCATCTTTGAATTCTGAGCCATGCATCAGGAGTTTTTTCAATGTCTCATCTTTTTGCTCAGTTACGCTTGCTCGCTCGTATTAACTGACATCACGACATGCGATTGTATTACTTGGAACAAGTGAGTACTCGCCTACAATGATGTAAACGACCTCTTTTGAAGTGTTCTGCTGTACCGATGTATCACTTCTCTACTGTGTACTAATAGGGAGTTCAAGGACGTTTGCCCATATTTCCCAGAGTAAACTTGACTTGCTTAACATTACAACAATGCTGCTATTGGTGGTCGCGCTGGTGAACAGGGATGGAAAGGTTGTCGGGTGTGCAAGGAGTGTTTTGTGTGTCTATATTCCGCTGAATCCCCCTGTTGTTGACAAAGATGTTGTCGAACAGATGCATGCGGTGAATGAATGTGTGTGGACAGTGATTACGGAAGCGGCGGATGTATGCCGGGAGTCCTAGCACTGAAAAGTATACCAACCCCTAAAGGAGCAGGGGGAGGGGGAG